AGATCGTTAGATGGGTTGCGTGTGTTGTAAGAGCTCGCAGTGATGGAGTGGCTGTGTTGCCTGCCTTGAGGATAAGTATTGCCGTCTTTGGTGCCAGCTTCTAACAGTATGCTACCCTGCTCGGATCCATAAGGTGGCGGAGGAGCCAGGCTTCCAGTCACAGGAGCCAGACCCCATTTCTTGACGTTGGCCTCAATGAAGACGAAGCCGGCCTGACCAAGGTTGACGTGAATAGTAGAAGGACCATTTGCACCGATGGCAGGGAAGAAGTTTTGCGCCTTGAGTCCGTGAACAACCTCCTCGAGCTTCTTACCATTGCGAGTGAAGAAGATAGCACCGGTTCGAGGACGATAACCCACACCAACGACATCACCCTGCACCAGTGGAGGACCATAGGGAGTCGCGCCGAAAGGTTGATTGTAGCGACGGGCACCGGTAGATTGATATCCGACAGAGTACTTGTGATATCCTGGCATCAAAATCAGTAAATGATTGTGGAAGATCAAATTGTGGCAAACTCACCCGGCAGTCGGAAAAGAGGATAAGGTTTGGTAGCCATGCCGATACTAAGTAGAGTGTTTTCGGGCTTTTCGTATATCTTGGCTTCCCAGTAGTAGACATCGTTTTGTTTGGGAACAGGAAGATTGCTCATGACGGTGCATTCCGAGTCAAAAAATTCAATTTCAGTACGAGCTTCGACAAAGCAGTTGGCGATCTCCAGTTCAGGTTCAAATTCCCATGCGGAGACACCCTTTTCCTGGATGGCGAGGTATTGAGACAGAGAGATATCAGTCTGCATTGATTCGGGAGGGTTGGCAGTAACCCAGGCTTTTGAACGCAACAGACGTTAGTAAAATACATTCGCCAGGTTAGCGAGCGCAAAATTTTGGTGACATACCTTTTGCACGTAGATATTCCTGGCGAGACATATCATCCATGACCTCGAGGGCCTCAGCCTCATCGCGTGCGAACGCTTGTTCATCATCGTATTCGCCAGGTCGGCCGAGGCGATCGAGGATGATGCGACCAGTACTCGCACAGCCAGAAACCCAGAAGATAAAGATGACTAGGGCGATGAGGACGATAGAGCCGAAGGATGACACGAGGCCGATGACGACGCCTGTAAAGGCAGACGACGGGTTGGAAGAGAGCCCCATGATGGGCGACGGACAAAGTATTTAATGTCCGCCTCTTGATTTTGGTTCGATTTGCTTGTTTTTGATGAGGTCGAGGGATTAATTCAAGGAGAATTGCGTTTGGGTCGGATTGTATAGATCGTGTTGTGCGGATTAGTCGATCGATGGGTCAGTCGGGGACAATCAAGGCACGGATCTTGGCGGACGGCGTCACCGCCGCAAATAGTACATGTAAGAATCAATCGCGCGGCGAGATAAGCAGAAAGGAGACGTGGCTGAGGAGTCAGTCGAAGATGAAGTCGCTAATATCGATGAACGGAGGAATCGAAAACGCCGAAAGAAGGTGAGAATGAACCTGAGGAGGATGGGGAACGAGGCCAAAAGATTTGGTGGTGATGGTGAAGGAGGAGAGTGACGAAGACGGGGGAGGGAGAGACGAGAGAAGCGAGGCGTCTTCGGGTTAGGTGGTTGGCTGTTAAGTGCTAGAGGATTGGATCAAATGTGGAGGAGGATAGGCCTACCTTAGCTTGCTTAGCTACCTACAGCGCAATACGGACGCCTACTAGATTTTAGCCCACGCGATATCGCCACTTGAACGCAAACTGCGGACTATCAGCAAATCAAAAGTTGCGAGATGATTCTTTAAGGCGATCTTTTAGAGAGACATTGATTTAGCAACAGTTTCTTAGAAAAATATTTAAATATATATGTACATAATAGGCTCATCCAAGCAGCGAACAATTGTCTCTAGCACTGACAAAAGACTAGGTAGGTATCGTCATAAGCCCATCGAAGCAGACAGTGGACGTTACCAGTGACCTCCTCCTAGTGGGGTCTGGGCTACCACTTCCCGACACCCGCAGGGGCCCAAGGGTCGACGGAAGCAGCGGGAGCGGGCTGATGGGACATGATAGCGCTTGCATCGTGTTAGCGCAAGTCACCACTTGACGCTGCATAGCACTAACATCCAGCGTGGGGCCTCATGTCTCCCAAGGCTGAGCCAGAACGATCATCATCAGTCAATGGAATCTCAAAGTGGCTGATGAACCTGGACCTGGAACCTTGTCAGACCAGGGCAGGAACCAAAAGAAGCGAAGCGAATCGAAATGCGGCGCTGATGACGACGTTGAGAGTGAGTTTTGCTACTGACTGACTTTTACGATATTGTATCTGTGACGCGAACAGTAAGAGACCCCAATCACCTAAATCACTCTCTCACTCTCTCACTCGTTCACAACAGCCGCAGTCTCCAACATATCGCATGATAATAATACCAAGCAATGCAAAATGCGTTTTTGTTTCGGCCCGGTGCCTGTCCCCTCACAGCTAAGACGCCCCCAGGTTTCACATCTTCCATGGATCTTAGCGCCTTGTCCATCAAAACAACAGAGCATCTCAGCTCGTATCCTATTTTGAGCGTTCGCGATACGCCTTGCGTCTATTAATTTCCAAGAATTATACGTCAGCCAACGAATTGTCAAATCCTACAATCCTGACATTATTCTTAAATAATATCCCAAGTATCTGAAACATGGTCTGCTTATGGAAGGTAGTAGCATGTTTAGGGAGACATGTGAGACATTGAACGATAGTTTCATTATTCGCCCTTTTTAGTCAAAGTAAACAAGTTGTTGCAAAGTCGATATCATAACCTTGGCAACTACTATGGCTGAAACCTCCTTAGTTTAATGCCCCGAATACCTTGGCATTCATGATACGCCAACTTATATCTACACGTTCACGACCATGACTTCATTTTCATGCAAGCGAGAGCATCATGTTTATTCAGTGCATTGCCTATCTCATATTCTAACAATCTCAACATATCAATTCATGTCCATGAGAAACCGTTGCCATGCCTATTTACATTAACGTTATACATCTACATGCACGCAGTGAACCCAACCCATGCCCGAAGCAAGAAAATCGCATTTTTACCTTATAGACCATTCAAGACTTTCGTCATACCCATATCACGTCAACTTTAATTTAACACTCCTCTCCTCGTCCTCGTCGATATTCTCTCTGCGCTCTTCGTGCTCGTCTCTCCTCCCTGGCCCTCTCCCTTTCAAGCTCCCTCAGCTCAGGCATCGGGTGGTGATAACTCTTGGTACCCAGGTCGCCACTATCGTCTGTGGTACGGGTCACCTGTGATCCGTCGAGGAGACTCTCGCTGACCTGGCTGTCGGCGCGGGTATAGCTCTCAGCACGCTGATAACTGAAATCGCGACGGGCTGCCCGGCCAGCTTCACGAAGACGACGGGCCTCGGCGCGCATGCGCTCTGCCTCACGGTTCTCCCGACGATCAGCGGTAGAGTAGACCTTGCGGATGCCGCCAGTGGCCTTGGTAGGTGTGGTTGTAGGAGTGGTCTGACGGTCAGAAAGAAGGTTTGTTGAGACGTTAGATTCAGTGCCGGGGTTGGTAGAGCCGTCCCATTCGGAACCTTCACTCTCCTTGTTCAGTCCACCGACGCGGGCTGGTCTTTCATGGCGATAGCTGCGGAGTTCCTTTTTAGCTGCAAGTTCGGCTTCCTCATCTTCAACGCCCGCTTCACCAACGTGACGGTTGGTCTTCTTGCCCTTCTTCGCACGCTCACGGTCTCGCTTTTCTTGCTTGCGGCGTCGCTTCTCACGTGCACCAATGTCGCTTGCTCCAGCTGTGATACCGGTAAGTGTTGTGCTCTCTGTGACTACAGTCGTGTTGTCGTCGTCCACGTCCTTGTATACACTGCCACCACCGAGGTTTGTTGGCCGAGTTGCGTTTGAGAGAATAGTGCCGTTAGGCCCGGTGCGCCGAAGAACCGTAGATTTGTAGTCATCCCAATCTGTTTCCTTGAATTGGAAGCCACCGTTCTTTGCCCAGAAGAAAAACCAGATACCGGTACACACGAACGCCACACCGATCAGAGCAAAAAGGAAGAAGAAACCGGCATTGTTGATGTCGTGAGGGTCGAACGAGCCTGATTCAGGCTCGACTGATGGTTTGTGTCTATCGTTCTTGTCGTCGTCTTTATCATCTCGAGCTAGCAGCACTTTACTGCCCTCCAACAAATGTCCCGAGAGTGTGGAAAAGGCCTCGGCAGCACGAGGGGCGTGCTGTGTGATTGAAGATGCACTGCGCAATGAGCGGATAATAGCGGGTGCCATGATGGAATGGAGCAGTAGAATGAAGAGGTCTCAGTCGAGTATGGTTTTGTGCAAGCTAGGCTCAGGGTGCTGTAGCCCAGCCGAGCTCAATCGTAAATGAGACCAAGCAGTTGACGTGAGTATTCTTGATGTATCAATCGAATGAGTGTGGTAAGTAATGGTTATCGTTAAATGAGCCGTGTAGTGTTGATTATGGAAATAGGGTGTTTTCTCAGACAAGGAGAGAGAAATAATGGAGAGAGAAAGTGTTGCGTGGCTCACGCTGGGCGATGGTGCTTGGTTAACCCAGAAACGAGGCCTGTAAAGTGCGTGGCTGGGATACGCAGCGGGTGGTTGGGCAGCCTCAACGTGCGCGTCAGAATGCTTGCAACGCTCTCGAAGCTTGATACAAACATAGACATAAGGCAATGATCTTGAAAGATATCGAGTCAGGGCTCCAATGATTTCCTTCTCAAGTTTGGATCAGTTTCAATGGCTTTTCTTTCGATCTCATCACCAGAATCCAGCCACAATCTTCAAATGACGTCGAAAGTAAACAATGCTCGATCGCTGACTGGGCAACCTCGCACAGAAAGCCCATTTAGTCATCAACCAATAACAGCTGTCCACGACTTTAATGCTCCAGATTTGCAATGCACACGCCCCCTTCGAGTTTTATTCGTGCATCTTGAGAATGGAACTGACGAGCTCTATTTTAGCCCGCATGAAGAGAAGATTCTAGGCAGTAGCGCCGGCCTTTGTGAGACAGCTATTGTCCCTACCTAAGGTTTGCATTAAGCACTCTGTTCAAATTTGACATTGGAATGCCACTAGGCTACATATTTGAGACCTGACGGACCATGTTTGATTCCGACCCCTGAGACAGCGTCTGCAACTGCACTGCTCACGTTTGCATGAATATCTCGGGCGCTTACACCGGACGAAAGCTGTTCTGGGGCAGTTAATAATCTACACATACTACAGATCGCCAGTTTCTTATGCACAAACCCAGACACCTGAGACAGGAGAAAAAGGGACAGCCAACAACATGCTTCCATTGTTATGCTATGGTTAAACTCAATCATATCCACCCACCCAGTCTTTGTCTTGTTACTCTCTCAGTCTCTCCATTCCAAAACAATATCTTCCGTTTCGACCAAGATCCTTCAGCTGAAGATCTTGTCACAGGTCACCATTTAATGTCTCGGAACAAGTAGAGAAGCCAAACATGCATGTCATGCTGGTTGTAACATAAGATTATTCTCTGCCGGGCAGCAGATAGAGGCGCGAACCTCGTTTGCCCGTACAATCTATCGTTCTGATGACAAGGGTCCAATGGTAGTCCCAGCCAAGTCTCAAATTCCTCCTCTTACACCATGCTCAACAATGCAATACACAAGCCAAATCCATAACCCATCTCTCATGCAGCTTTCCACAGGTATCTACTACTGATCAGATCGCAGCAAAAAGGGGTGCAGGCAAACAATGGAAAATCGTCTAGTCCCAGTCCAATCAAGGCCAATCCACTTCAACATGAATCTACACCCTGTAGGTAGCAAAGACCAGGCATCGGGAAAATACACTTCGGTTCAAAGCCACCACAAGGTAAAGACATATGTTCGTTGTGGACATACTGGTGCCCTTCCACTACCCAACCAAACTCCAAAATATCCCATCTGGGCGTACATGATTTTCGAATGAAAAAGTTGAGCTTTCAGTAAGCGCTGTTGGTACTGGTACCTCGAGGTAGGAGAGCCGCGCTGGTAACTCAGCTGAACCATCAACTGGATGCTTCCACCATCACCGCTTTTGGGGTATCAACTTTCTGCCACGAAGCCAACGGGAGGGTCTGATTCAAGAATACAAGGAGCTCAGTGTATGAATTCAACTCTGAGCTCAAGACCGCACCTTGAATGTAACCAAAACGTCCACCGGAATGCTCATCGATGGCCAAGATTCAAGATTATAGGCGAAACGCTGCCCATCCCGTAGACATTTGTATGCAGGAAATAAGAAATAAGAAATAGATATAGTTCAAAAAACAAAAATGCATAACGCGCTTATCATCAACTTTGTCATCTCTCATAAGAAAAAAAAATCATCAGTAAATGTAGTCGTCCATGGCAAAGGACGGATCATATGGTGCATGGTTTCCAGAATATCCACGATGATGTGAGTCAGAACGACTGGGGGTGTGTGGTCGGTAAGGGAGAGCCTTCTGTTCTACTCGGCTGCGGACATCTTCAAGCTGGTAGTAACTGCTAGCACGGTCGCTGCCAACTCTAGAGCTGCCGGTAGGTCTTGAAAATGTGATCTCGCCTCCATCGCCGCACTCAATCTCAGCACCCGACACTCGCACGACAGCCGAGCCTGACACTTTGATGGTGACATTGTCAGTGTCGCTTGAAGAAGAACGAGTGAGACCAGTGGTGTTGCTTCGCTTATACTCGCTATCATCATGGCTGCCGCTACTTCGACTGCTCCCGCCGCCAAGCCGAGGGTTGCTAGCTTTGCGTAGGGTTTCAGCAGTCAATGGCATGGCGGGACCGCCATTGATGTCGTCCTGGTATCGCATAGCGTCCAGGTACTTATCCTCATCCAAACTGACACCTCCACCACCAAGTGAACGATCTTCGTAGTAGGAATCTCGTCGAGTTCGGGCAGGCACAATGTCGATTCCACGCTGTTCATATGCAACAGAGCCTCGTCGAGTGCGAGCGGGTACAAGATCAGCACCATGATGCTCATAGGCGACAGAACTGCGTCGAGTACGGGCCAAAGCTGTACGACGATCGAAATTGGCTTCAGGAGAGTCCGCAAAAAGGCCGGGACTGTCATTGTAGTCTTCATCGTCATAGCCTTGATCAACGAACCCAACGCGGCTACGACCCGAAGGCGGTGGCCGCGAGGGAGTCCTCGTCTTTTGCCTTGTCAATGACTGAGGAGGGGGGCGGAATGGAGTGGTTGGAGGAGGCATCGCAGACTTGGGTCGTGGGATGCTGTCAGGAGGAGGCATACGCCGGCGATCCTCGTCATTCTGTTGAGGCCTCTTGGAGCGAGAGGCACGTCTAATGAGACGGGGATCAGGCTGTTCCTCCTCCTCAAAGTCATCCTGAGGATACCCAACGTTTGATGGTGAAGGCTGCTGTTGACGGAAACCCATGGATGAAGCTGGCCGCTCAAAACGGTTTCTGAGGTGGGCGCTGGCCTGCTGCGAAGGCATATCAAAGAACCCAGGTGTTCCAGCACCTGGGCCAGGCGAAGGCGGAACGCCGACCACTGAGGGAGACTGTCCTCCAGGGAAGTAAGGTGGTGGCGGGAATGATCCGACGGGGAAAGAAGGTTGAGAAGCTTGGGCATGGTGCCAGCCAGCATTGGAAATTGGGGGAGCGGTTTGTCCAGGGTAATAGCTATGAGGTCGAGTCTGAGCACGGGGGCGCATGCCAGAGACGGCAGGCTGCTGGACACCATAACAGGAGGGATCCTCGACACGACCTCGGCGATATTGTTGAACAACAGGCTCAGTCTTGGTGTGAGTAAGTGATGTTGGGCGAGGTCTTCTCACAGGCTTGGGCTCACGTTCCTTGGGTGGTTTGGCTTCGGCTCGGACCCTCCGTTGTTGCTGCTCAGCAGCTTCCTTCTGCTTGCGCTCTTTACGACGTCGATCTTTGTCGCGCTGTTCGCGAGCTTCACGTTCGTAGTCTCGGCGGGGACGCTCTTCCCTGCGGGGGGGGTCTTCATCAGAGAGCCCTTCACTGGGAGGAGAAACGTGTCGCCTGCTGGAATATCTCCTGGTTTCACCTCGAGACTTTCCTGTGTTGGGGCGTTCCTTAGGTGGACTAGCGGGGCCAGGAGCTTCAGAGACAGCATAGCGACGGGTGGATTGGATGCCCTCGAGGACAGAGCTGCCGGAATCCTCCTCGGCATCCTCGACGTAGCAGACGTGGTTGGACATGGTGTAGTTAGAAGATCGGAGAAACTTGAGAGCGAATTCGGCTCCAAAAAGAGTCAATTCGATGAGGGGGTTCAACGGGATCGAACAGGGACCACGCTAGGTGGGACGGCACAGTTGGTGGATGAGATCGCAACTCCAGGCGGTGAGAGCGCCAGTGGCGTTGATGTTGATGGTATCTGCGATCGCGAACGCAATGCTTTAACGTCCCCTTTCGTGAAACCTAACAAGCGACATGTGAAGGAAGTCGAATTCGTTGACCAAGACAGCTGCAGCCGAAAAAAGTCGTGAGTAAAATGTCGCTGGTGAGTTGGATACAGAAGGCGGTGACGATAGTGGCATACACCAGGGCGCTTTTCGATGGAGACGCTAGTAGCGACGGATATGTAATGTTCGATGCTTGGTAGATGCTGGTGCTATAATGTTGATCGAGGTGAATATAATGCTCGACTGGAAGCGAGAGCAGAGCGAGGAGGAATCGAAGAAATATGTTTGTTTTAAAAAGACAATGTATCAAACTGTCATGGGAGAAAGACAAGACAAGAAGGAGGGGAGGAGGGGGGAGAAGCGATGGGCATGGATGGGCGGGATGGTCTGTTTTTAATAAAAGTGCCCAGGTGGTGGTAATTTCAGGGCCTGGGGGGTTCAGCATTTTCTGAAGCAGACCTACCTCAGAGTGTGGGGGGTGTGTAGGTATTCAGATCCATCTGTTACCGGTAGTTTTAGTGGTAATGCAGCACTATTACCGCCCAGGGCGGACAAGCAGCCACAGGACGTCGTGGCCGTTGATGTTTTGATAGAATGAGCCAGTGATGAGAGGCTATTTGATTTAAGCCCAACGAGAAGTCATGTGGACAATACGAATTGGATCGTACCATGGAAGACTCGACACCTCGAGCTTGAAGTGATAGAAAACTCTACACAATTGACAGAGAAGGAGGAGGGAAATGAGAAAGAATGAGAGAGCGCAGGTGTGTGGATGGGCGTGTGAGTAAACCCACCTCAAGGTGCGACTCTAGAGGAAGCAAGGGAGAATCTCGTCAGTGAAAAGGGAGGGGTGGTTCTACACCACGGGACGATGGACGATCAATCAAGCGACTCAACGCTGGAGCCAGCACAGCAATGGAACTGCACACTGCAGTCAGTCAAATCAAATCAAATCAACCACGTCAAGTCGCTGAGAGCAATGACGAAGGCACTGACACAAAAGCAGAACAAGACGCAGATAGAGATTGGTTGTCGTCTGTTTTTACTCGTCCGTTTTACCCAAAATATCTTGATTCATCAGCACCAGAAAAAGTCAGCCAGTGAGACAGAGACAGACGCAGACACTCGCTCGCTCGCTCACTCGACCCTCGTTCATCCAGCAACGGATCACTACGTGCACTATTATTAACACAGCAGCCACAAACATAGACATCCGTCCGTTCGTTCATGCTTCCCGCCTCTTGCTTCCCGACTCATATACGGATAGTGAGTGTCAATGACTCCTGAATGCGCTGTATTGTATTCGTCAGCATCTTTGTCTCTCATTCACCATGGGCACTTCAGAGGTGGCAGGGGAGCCTTGAGGTGAGGGTCTCTCGCTCCGGCCCGCCTCACTCAATGCGTTGGCAGTTGGCATTTTCTCCTGCTCAGCTAAGCAACATAGTTGCCCCAGATTCTCTTTTCCACTCCAAATTCCCGTCTACCATTCCCTTCTGAATATTGAAAAACTCAAAATACCATGGAAAACAGTCATGCCAGAAATTGAAGAGGTGGGGGTGGCTACTGTATTCAAACCAGGGTCCTCACTTTTGCTATTGTGCTTTGCTGGTCGTGGTGCTGAATGGAATGGATTATGGAGCCATCCCGCTCACGGCCACCAACAAGCAAGCGAGCTGGATGATGGAGTTTTCACTATCCGTAAGCTTCGAGTCACTCTCAAGACTAGGTATGCTGGGGTATGCCTGTATTGATTCAACGGCCAAAACGATTGTCAGTCGATATGGTCTTTCGGATGGAAAATCTCTTCTTTCTAGTCTCGCCGATTATTCTTAGCCGTTTATACGATCACGATATTGAAACTACAAGCGCATTATCGATGATGGCCAAAGGTGACCAGCC